GGGTCCAATTTTATTATTAAAACATAATAACTTCCTCCAAATTTTTAATTCAAAATCGAGGGCGTAGCTTTTATTCGGGGGTAGCTTCTATTCGGTAATATATAGTACTCAGTTTTATTAATTAACAGTAATAAAAATATAATTTGCTAAATAATTAGCATTGTTTTGTTATAAATATTGTAGAAAAGAGTTGATAGTTTGTGGTTTTCTTAGTAAAAGAAGGTGGTAATAAATAAGAAATTTGTTGTAACATATTTTCAAATTATAGAAGTTTGATAATATTGATAATAATTTGAATAAATATTTTTCTGTAAACATATTTGTTGTTTTAAACTTGGTTCTCACAGCTGCGAAGAGTTTTATAGTCTGCTATATGCATTTAGTCTAATTGTTATTATCTCAATTCTCTATATAAATAAACTTATTCACCAGTTTATTTATATCATTATCTTCTGAAAATAGCCTATAAGATATAAAGAACATAATTATTTCAGAAGCAGTAGTTACATTAACATATTTAAATTTTTTATTAAAAATCTAAAATTATTATTTTTTAAAGAAATAATTATAGTTAACTAAAGTTAAAATTTACTAGTTATACAAATCAATATCTATATATAATTGTATAATAATAAATATTTTTTTTTATATTTATTTTTTCTATTTTTTTTTTATTAATCTACTTTTTTTTTTATATACTATTGCTTTTACTTTTACTGTTTGCTTGTGTTTTGTATTTTGCTAGTACCACTTTTTGTTGCTTCAACATAGTCTTATATTTCACTACTACATTTCACTAATGTTGTGTTGTATTGCATTTAGTTGCTGTAATGTATGTTGTGTTTTGTCAGTAACATTCATATTATATTAGAGCAGCAGTTAAAGTTAAAATTTAGGGTAGATTATAAGTGAAAAGGTTTGTTGTATAATTATATTTTTATATAGAAACTAAAACAGAGTAAACAGTTACTTCAGAGTTATTATGCTTATACTGACTTTAGGCTTATTTAAAGAAAGTAGTAAATAAGATTCAGTAAGTTTATTCTATTTTTTGTTTTACAAATATTGCTAATCTTTTAAACCTACTAATTTGGAGTATATTAAACAGCCAGTGATCCAATGTAATAATTTACCACTTAATTCTTTATAGCTGTTGCTATTAATTTTGATATATCTAGTAAAAGTTAATTGAATAATTATTTACTAATTTGACAAGTTATTAATTTTGGCATGATCATATAACTTTTATTATTTATAGATAGTTTAAACCCAGGTATATACATTTATTATAAATTGATTAGTAAATTGAAACTAATATAGAATGTATAAAATACTGTAAGTTCTTGATTTATGGTATAGTAATGACAATTTTAATCAATAATATTTAGATAACCAATATCAATATAACTCTGATTAAGTATAATATTTTGAAGCATATTTGCTGAAAATAGTTAAAAAATTTAGAAGAACTATCAATTTGAAAAATTACTAAACATTTAAGTGTTAGTAGATCTTCAATATATTGAGTTTTCAAGCAATTTCAACTGTTAAAAGACTTTTGCTACTTGCAAGAAAACTACATCTATTAAACCTAAACAATATAAATATTTGAATTAGCTAACAATTATTTGGGCATTTTATTACCAAATATTACCAAATTAATGAAAAATAGCTGTAATTGTGGTTCTATCACAAAATGTTAAATCTAAACTAGAAAACAGTTTCAAAGTTATATTGCATACACAAGTCTGTAATAGATGAAAATCTATCATCACTAAGCTCAACAATATAATTTTATTTGAGTTTAGTATTATAAAGTTGTCTAGAGAAACTTTGCAAATTCTTTAAATTCATTTAGATTTGGATAAGTCCTTATATTAAGATTTGGGTTTTGGTGATTGTATAATAAAGTCATTCAAAGAAAACTTTTAATTAGAATACAAAAAGTAGTTTTTTATGAAATCTTTTGAGAAATAAATGATTTTTGACAAAAGTGCCATTTCTGATCATATAAATTGTGATCTGTTATTAGCTAATAATCACGTTAAGTAAATTTTGATAGTGATTAGATGTTCACAATTATAATGGAAATAGCCAAAACATGTATATAACAAATCAAATTATGCAAATTTTGAGTTATTAGCTAAAAAAGAACAAGTAAAATAATTATAGTCATAGAGACAAACCAGTTTATTCATTTAACCAATCAATTTTTGGTATAAAAATATATATTATGCCAGATCATAATTCTCTCAATTGTGTAAAAATCATATGCTATTATTTTTATTTAAATATGTTATATAACTGGTAATTTTTTTTCTAGTAAAAATTAGAAATTTCTTTTTAAAATTTATATAAAAAAATTAAATATATCTAATAATTACTTATATTAACTAGTTACTAAAAGTAAGTTAAAAACTTAAGTTTAAAAGTTAATAGTATCTTTAAAGTTTTTTTGTACAAACTATTGTTAATAAAAGCTTTAAATATAATATACTATAGGTGTTTTAAACAGTTTATAAAGAAATTAAGTCTTTTTTTTTTAAGTAGATTTCACTTTGTATTTAGTATTTAAACCAAAGAAGTTTTTGAAGATAGCAAGTTAAAAAAAAACTAAAATTTGTTTAGAGATAAAGAACTTTTAGAATAACTTTTCTTAATTAAAAACTTGCAAAATAATAATATTTCTTTGTTATTTTTTTATAATTTTTAACGAAAAATGAAAATTTAGCTATTTTCACTAAAAGATCAGCAATATTTACTACTTACTCATTTTTGAAAAGTTGTAAATTATAATATAATAATTGAATAATATAATAATTATATATAAGAAGAAAGTTTTAAGATCAACAGAACAAAAATTATAAATAGCAAATTCTATATTTAATCAGATACAGTTTTAAAATATTTTCTTTTGAAATATATCAAGAAAATAGTTTTGAATAATAATAATTAAAAGGAAAAACTTTTGTTAATCTAAAAATAACAAAGCATATTCAAAAGAAAAAATATAAAAAAATAGTTCATTAAAAAATAAAGATATTAAAATTAATAATTATATAACAAAACTTTAAAATTAGATATTTTAAAATTCAAAATAAATTTAATAAAAAGTTTTTTTTTTGTTTGTAAATGCTATAGTTAAAACTTTATTTAATAAAATAGAAAAAAAATTATATATTAAAGATTCTAAAACTATATTTGTGCTATTATATTAGGTACTCAATGTAATATTATACCCTCTAATTTTCTATATAATGCAATTAATTATTGCTATTAATTAGTTTGCTAGAATAGGTTAGAGGAAATCTATTAAATTTTTTTTTATTAACTAGGCTCTTTGGTGTAGAGATTTTTATTCAAGTATACTGGGTAAAGAGCTCACAGTGAAACTCCAATTATATTAAAGAGTACAACTAGCTATACATGCGACTTTTAGTTATCTATTTAAATAGTCTATATATAAATAACTGTATACTATAGGTTCTATACTAGCTGCTATACCTATAACCAAACTAGGTGATTACCTATTTAAACCCTCTATAACATACACAACTCTCTTGTATTATCAGGATATTTCTGTTATATTTGTCAGTCGAGAAGTTCTGAATGTGTATCTTAGCCTTAGAACTAATTTATCTTTAAAGCATTATTATTAGAAATTTCTGTACATACAATCTGGCTAATCTAACTTTTGGTAATTTATGCCAAGTCCAAGAACAAGCACTTGCAAGCTGAAGCCGCTACTGTTATCTACTCCTGCTCTTATAGAGTTCATCCAAACCTTAGCATCCACTTTATGAACCATCTACCAGTTTTGCAAGTTTCCAAACTCCTAATCTAGATAGTCCAGAAGGGCAAACTCCTTTCTTCGATTCTCACTAGTGGTCTAGTTAATATGGTGCCTGAGAAAATCTATTAATAAAAGTTAAAACTAAAGTAATAATATAAAATATACAATATTTTGAGATTATATATATAATTTTAGCTTTTAGTACAAGTTAAAATATATTTTAGATTATAGCTTTTTTATTAAATAGTTTAATATATAGATTTTTATAACTATATAGATAAGTTTTTTTTTTAATTAGCAAAATTTTCTATTTGTAAACAAGTTCTTATAGATTTTAATAGTTTTAAATTGTTTATATTTTAATATACAATTCATCTGTTATCTAGAAAGGATCTGCAAATTTTTATAAGTAAATTTTATTACAATATTGAGCTAAATATAAAATTCTTTAATCTAGAACTTTTTTCTTACTAAGTAAATTACTTTTGAACTTCTAATAAAAGTTGTAAAGCTTATTAAAATATATCTAATAGTAGTAAGAATATTAAAATTGGCCTAGTAGTTCTTGAGAAATCTTTAAAAAACATTTTATTAATATATAAAATTTCTTTAAATAAATTAATTTTTTTAAAAATTTTTTTAAAAACGACTAGATTAATTTTAATATTCTTATTATTATTAGATATATTTTAATAAGCTCTACAACTTATATTAAAAGCTCAAGAATAATTTACTTAATAAAAAAAAGTTTTAGATTAAAGCACTCTATATTTAGCTTAATTCGTAATTCGCCAAAAATAGAAAGAAAATGTATAATGTAAATCAGGGCAAAGTTTAATTAATACTATATAAAAAATTGATTTATAATCACACTTTTTAAGAAAATAACCTGCATTTTTTTTCACGTGAGGGCCTAAATTGTATAAGTAAATTTACAAACAAAAGCACTGTATCATTATTACAAGAATGAAAATTACTAATGTATTTTTAGTTTTCTCGCTATTCTCATTCCGGGTCGGGATTATGGGTTAAAAATAAGCAGAAGAATGATGCTTGTACTGTAAAAAGGTTTTATAATATAAGTCAAACCCCTTTATTTTTTTTATTTGATATTTTTTTAACTTAGAACTGTTGCTTTGGCATTTTTCGCTGCTTCCTTTTTATATAATGATGAATACTGACTAATCTAGTTTTCAATTGTTTTAAGCTATGGAATCTCTTCAGCCTCTAACTCTCCTATTTGTACTCATTGTTGCAGATCTTGGTGCATTTCTTTCGCTGTATATCGCTCACTTTTATCCTTATCGCCTGCATGAAAGAAGCTTTTTAATATTTCTTTTATAGTTTCTGTCATACGTTTGCCTCCTCCTTTTTTTCCATATACTTGATTTTCTTTCAAGGCCCACTCGGCACAAAAATAATTTTTATTTTCAGAATTTTCTTGCTGAAATTGGTTTTTTTTGTTACCTTTTTTTTTTGATTCTACTATTATTTTATCATTTGCCTCATCGCTAATTGCAATATATAATTTATGTGTATCCTTCATCTCTATAGCAGATAGGTAGAAATTAATCAATATAGTATTGAATTGAATATGTAAAAAAATGAAAATAAAAAATTTTTATACCCTTTATTATATTTGACGTTTTTTGTTGAATGTTCGCTTTTAATAGGCTAATCAAGATTGTTTTATTTTCTTCAGCATTATAACTCAAACCTCTTTGATCAAGTTCTTTTTTGATCTCTGACATTAACAACCTAGTTGGATCTGAGCCTATAATGGACAACCAATTCAAGTAATATTTTTTTTATCATACAAATGCTTATGATCATGGTCTTTTTTCTTTATTATTCTGAATATAACTATAATATAATTATCTTACACTAATTTGTGAACATGATCATTAACATCGATATTACAAAATTTGCTTAGTTAATATAAATAGTTGGTTGTAATCTACTATAATATAGTATATTACTGCTAATAATTTATTATGACTGAACAAAGTGATATTGATTGTTGTTATAATTGCTTACTATTTGAAGGTAAAGGAACTATCCAAGATGAATTTGTAATAGTATGGTCTGATGCTTTAGGACTTGGTCAGGGTTGTTCAATCTCATCTTTTGATTTACTAATAATGGCAGGTGAAAAATTATTCCAAGCTCCAAAGTGAGATAAAGCTCGTGCACAAATAAAACCCATATATTTTCCTTCTATTGGCCATTTAAACTCGAACTAATTCAATATTCCACTGAGCTTTGGTTTTTTGATATTTTTATAATTTCTATTTGGCTGGATATTAGCAACACTTGTGCCTTTAATATTTTTAATCGCTTCGACTATATTTTCTTCTTCATTTATATTATCCCTTAAACCGTCAGTAGTTAGCAGGCATATTTGGCTGCTAAAATATTAAAATTGTTATGTCTGATCTA